TCGAAGTCGAAGCCCATCTGAGGCGTCTCAGGAGCGCTTGGGGAAGGGCTCGGGAGACCATCGGGGAAAGCCACCGAAAGCGCCGGGGAGGCTCGCAAGGATCTACAGGGAGGGCCCAAGAGAGCTTCAAGAAAATTAGAAATTTTATAAAATATGTAGAGAAACCGCTGTTGGGTAGGCCATCACCTCTGGGCGCGCCTTGATGGTGCGTTCCAGTCGCATCACCGCCAACGGGAGGGTTTGTTCGCCATGTCCCATTCTGTTCGCCCAGAGGGTCTGTGGAGGCCTTCGGGCGAACAGAACGGGACAGGGCAAGGAATGGGGAAGACTTGTCCGAATCTCCTGGGCCCCCCAGGTGCTCGTCCGAAGAATGCGGAGAGGTCCCAGGGTCATATCAATTGGCTGCTGTCCCAGGGGTCCGGTCTGCTTGGCCCGAAGAGTTTGCCAAGGCCCCTGGGGGAACAGAATGGCACAGCATATCGGGCAAAGGGGGGCGGTAGCTGGCCTGTCAGACCCGGCGTTCGTCTTCTGCCCAAGCGGCGCGGGGCCCACGGGCCCCAGGGTTGGCGGCCCGCTGGGTTTCCTCTTGTTCGCCCACAGGGTTGGAGGAGGCCTCCAGGCGAACAGAATGGGGCAGGACAATGAATGTGGGAGACTTGTCGCAAGCTCCCAGCCCCCCCAAGTGTGCGCCCGAAGGGTGTGGGGCCGCGTTGGCTCCCTCAAAGGGCCGTCTTGGAGCCGTCCATGCCCGTCTTGAGGGCGCCGTTTGCCGTGATGGGGCCGTCTTGGTTCGTCGTGGGCCCCTCATGGGCGCGTCCGTAGGCCGTCCTGGGCCCATCGAGGTCCTCGTGGGGCTGTCTTGGAGCCGTCTGGGACCGTGAGGGGGCCGCCTTGGAGTCGTCTTGGGCCCCTCCTGTGCGCCTCCTTGGGCCGTCCTGGGCCCAGCAGGGGCCGTGTTGGCACCCTCTTGGGGCTGTCTTGGAGCCGTCTTGAGCCGTCGCAGCGCGCCTTGGGTTGTGCTGGGTCCGTCCTGGCCCGTCTTGGGGCCTTCCTGGGCGTTTCCTCGGACCTCCTGGGACTTTCTGGGGCCTCTTGGTGCATCGGACCGCCGAAACGGCGGGAAACGCAAAGGGTGTCACGGCAAACAATGGAAAAGTAACGATTTTTGCCAGCTGGGGCTCTCTTGCCATCTTGGCCCGTCTTGAGGCCCCGACCAGGCGCGTCCTTGGGCCGTCCTGGGCGCACCCTCCTGGGACCGTCTTGGAATCGTCTTGGGCCGTCTTGAGCGCGCCTTGGGCCGTCCTGGGCCCGTCTGGGGCCGTGTTGGCACCCTCGCGGCGAGGAAGCTCGGAGGCGGGCTCGAGGCCTCTTTGGGGCCATTTTGGAAGCTGTTGGGGCCTCTGTTGGGGCCTCGTTTTGGGCTCCTTGGGAGCTTCCTGGGGCCTGTTCGGGTGATTCTTGGCGGCCCCTTGGGGCCTCTTGGGGGCCTGTTGGGGCCTCCTGGCGCCCTCTTGGGGCGGAAGGCTCGGAGTTTCGGTCCGTGGTCCTTCTCTTGTTCCCCTCTTGGGCCTGTCTTCGGGCCCTCGTGGGCCGTCTTGAGCGTCTCTTGGGTCGTCTTGGGGCCCTCTTGGGCTGTCTTGGGGCGCTCTTAGAAACCTCTTGGGCCGTTCTGGGGCGCTCTTGGAGGCCTCTTGGGCCGTCTTCGAGCGTCGGAAAGCGGAAAAGGCGAGAAGGTCAAAATCATTCCAAAACCGTCGCAAAGCGGATGATGTTGAGGCCCAAAACCGTCCAAAACCTCCTGAGGCGGTCCCCTCGTCCGCCCCCCTCGCTTCGAAGCAGTTTTTAAGCCCCGTGGCACCTCTTGGGGACCTCTTTTGGGCTCCTGGGGGCCTCTTGGGCCTCTCTGGGCTCGTCTATCGCGCCCCTTGAGCTGTCTTGGGGCCCCCAAGGGCCTTCTTGGGCGGTCCTCGGGCCGTCTTGGAGCCATCTTGCGCCGCTCTTCGGGCCATCTTGGGGTCCCGTTGGCCTGTCTAGGGCGCCTCTGGGGCCGTCCGGGGGCCGCCTTGGACCGTCTTGGGGCCCTCTTGGACCGTCTTGGGGTCCTCTTGGGGACCTCGTCGACCGTCTTGGAGCGGTCTTGGATGCCTCTGGGAGGGTTTCGGAGCGTCGGGAGCCGAAAAAGCGAGGAAGCAAAAAACCTCGGGGAAACCAATGAAAATCAACGATTTTGGCCTCTCGGGCCTCTCCTGGGATGCCTCTTGGGAGGCCTATTGGGCCGTCTTGGCGAGCTCTGGGCGGTTCCTCGGGCCGTCTTGGAGCCATCTTGGGCCGCTCTTCGGGCCATCTTGGGGTCCCGTTGGCCTGTCTAGGGCGCCTCTGGGGCCGTCCGGGGGCCGCCTTGGACCGTCTTGGGGCCCTCTTGGACCGTCTTGGGGTCCTCTTGGGGACCTCGTCGACCGTCTTGGAGCGGTCTTGGATGCCTCTGGGAGGGTTTCGGAGCGTCGGGAAGCCGAAAAAGCGAGGAAGCAAAAAACCTCGGGGAAACCATGAAAATCAACGATTTTGGCCTCTCGGGCCTCTCCTGGGATGCCTCTTGGGAGGCCTATTGGGCCGTCTTGGCGAGCTCTGGGCGGTCCTCGGGCCGTCTTGGAGCCATCTTGGGCCGCTCTTCGGGCCATCTTGGGGTCCCGGTGGCCTGTCTTGGGCGCCTCTGGGGCCGTCCGGGGGCCGCCTTGGACCGTCTTGGGGCCCTCTTGGACCGTCTTGGGGTCCTCTTGGGGACCTCTTCGACCGTCTTGGAGCGGTCTTGGATGCCTCTGGGAGGGTTTCGGAGCGTCGGGAAGCCGAAAAAGCGAGGAAGCAAAAAACCTCGGGAAAACCAATGAAAATCAACGATTTTGGCCTCTCGGGCCTCTCCTGGGATGCCTCTTGGGAGGCCTATTGGGCCGTCTTGGGGAGCTCTTGGGCCGTCTTGGGCCAATCTTGGGCGTCTTGGCCAAATCATTGCGCGTCTCGGGGCCCACTTGGGCCGCCTTCGGGGCATCTTGAGCGGCTCGGAGCCGTCTTTGGGCCGTCGGGGCGGCCTCCGGAGCGTCTCGGAGCCGTTTCCCGGCATTTGGCTGGATTTCCTTCCGGCACGCGCCTCCTCCGGCCATATAGTATAGACTGGTGTGTGTGTGTGTGTGTGTGGTGTGTGTGTGTGGTGTGTGTGTGTGTTGTGTGTTGTGTGTTGTGTGTTGTGTGTTGTGTGTTGTGTGTTGTGTGTTGTGTGTTGTGTGTTGTGTGTTGTGTGTTGTGTGTTGTGTGTTGTGTGTTGTGTGTTGTGTGTTGTGTGTTGTGTTGTGTTGTGTTGTGTGTGTGTGTTGTGTGTTGTGTGTTGTGTGTTGTGTGTTGTGTGTTGTGTTGTGTGTTGTGTGTTGTGTGTTGTGTGTTGTGTGTTGTGTGTTGTGTGTTGTGTGTTGTGTGTTGTGTGTTGTGTGTTGTGTGTTGTGTGTTGTGTGTTGTGTGTTGTGTGTTGTGTGTTGTGTGTTGTGTGTTGTGTGTTGTGTGTTGTGTGTTGTGTGTTGTGTGTTGTGTGTTGTGTGTTGTGTGTTGTGTGTTGTGTGTTGTGTGTTGTGTGCTGTGTTGTGTGTGTTGTGTGTTGTGTGTTGTGTGTTGTGTGTTGTGTGTTGTGTGTTGTGTGTTGTGTGTTGTGTGTTGTGTGTTGTGTGTTGTGCGTTGTGCGTTGTGTGTTGTGTGTTGTGTGTTGTTGTGTTGTTGTGTTGTTGTGTTGTGCGTTGTGCGTTGTGCGTTGTGCGTTGTGTGTTGTGTGTTGTGTGTTGTGTGTTGTGTGTTGTGTGTTGTGTTGTGTGTTGTGTGTTGTGTGTTGTGTGTTGTGTGTTGTGTGTTGTGTTGTGTGTTGTGCGTTGTGTGTTGTGTGGTGTGTGTTGTGTGTTGTGTGTTGTGTGTTGTGTGCTGTGTGTTGTGTGTTGTGTGTTGTGTGTTGTGTGTTGTGTGTTGTGTGTTGTGTGTTGTGTGTTGTGTGTTGTGTGTTGTGTGTTGTGTGTTGTGTGTTGTGCGTTGTGTGTTGTGCGTTGTGTGTTGTGTGTTGTGTGTTGTGTGTTGTGTGTTGTGTGTTGTGTGGGCGGCACGGAGAGCAGAGCGGCCCTCCTCGCTGAGGGCTGGGACGGGGGCTGGGATCGCACGGATCCCGGCGGGCCATCCTGGGCCCCAGGACCGGTGCGCGCGCACCTCCCGGCAGGGCCAGGGAGGCGTACAGGGCAGTTTTTAATACATGGGATGTTTTAAAAACATCGGATTTCTAATCCATGATTAATCTATGAATAAATTTATGCATGAACTCATCGTTGCTTTTAATACTAAATCCCTGCATTTGTAATACATGATCCGCACGCGGAGCATGTATTAAAAACGGCACTGTAAATATCGCTCCAGGGCGCAGGGTCGGGTTGGCCAAGATCGGTGAGGCGGTCAGTTGACGTCACACGGCTTCCTCCCACGGGGGGGGGGACAAAGAGATACAAAATACCGCTACTCCCCGCACTTCTCCCTGGGTGCGCTCCGACCAGGCTGCCGCAACGAATCCAGCCGCGGCGACGAGGAAGTGCAACGGCACCAATATCTCGGACTCCTCCGGCTCGCTGGGGCAGGGACCTATTCGGGTCGGCCGAAAGGGGTGGATAGCAAAGGGGGCGTGGGGCGAATCAGTTGCATGCAACTGGTTTCCCCGGCGCCCCCTGGCGCTGAACGCGCCCACGTATCAATGACAGGGCCTCGCGGCGGGGCCGAAACCAGCTGCACGCGGCAGATGTTTACCAGCCAGGAACATATCCCTATCCCTATGCTGGGCATCGCCTCATCACGATGCCAATCTCAGGGATTCCCCTAGGTTTTGTGGGCGCAACCCTGTGATTGTCATCGCCTTTTGGCGTGTCAATCTTAGAGATGGGGGTCAGTTCGAGGCTGGTGAGATGTTGCACCCCCCTGACCCCGTACCCCGTCACCTGTCGACCGACCCAAGTGACCCTCGTCGCCCAGGCTTCGGGGCTCAGCTCGGGTCTCTGGCGGCCGTTCGGGATGCTCCGGACGCCACGGGAGAACAACCCTCGGCGAGGCGCGCGCAGCTGCAGGGCGCTCCGAGGCCGGAGGGCACCGCCGAGAGCCGACGCAGGTGCCCGCACACCTCCGAGGGCTTCCAGCCGCCGCTCTTCCGCCCGACCCGAGCAGGGGCGGGGCAGCGGACCCCCGAAGTTGCCCCGCGGGCGCGCCCGCAGCTCAGAGGGCCACTGCCGGGGCTCCGCCTCGCCTTTGCGAGGCTCCGTGCGAAGGGGGGGGGGGGGAAGGGCGCCGGGCGGGCCGCGCGCGGCGCGAGGGGGCGGCGCGCAGGGCAGCGAGCTCGGCAAACGAGCGACGAACCGAAACGGGACTTAGGCGAAAGGCAGAGCGAGCTGACGCCGCGGTTCACGCGGGCCGCCAGCGTGGCACGTCGCGCGGAGAAGAGGGCGTTGACGCGCGACCCTGCGCGGGAGGTTTACGCGCGAATAGCCTCGTAGACGATCCCGACTTCTCCCGTCGCTCACTTGCCGCTGGAAGGCGCCGAGCCCCTTCGGGCCGGACGAGGGACTCTCGCTGCAGCATGCGGAAGAGGGAGGAGGAGGAGGAGGAGGAGGAGGAGGAGGAGGAGGGGGAGGAGGAGGGGGAGGGGGAGGAGGACAAGCTAGGTGCGCTCGCGTCATATCTGAAATCCTACCCCTCCCTCCCATCCCCTACCATGGTGCAGATCCCCTCTCTACTCGCTCAGTCGGATGTCGGGCAGGGCAGTGATCCCGAAAGGGTACGCGATGCATTGTGGAGCACGGCGTGACATGGCGTAGAAGAGCACCGCAAAGCGTAGTATCAACCTAGCATTGCATTGCATGCCATGGCATGGCATGGGAAATGACGCCAGCGCTGCAGCGGGAGCACGACTCGAAACGAGCGGAAGGGCGGAAATGAGGCCAACGCTGCAGCGGGAGCACGATTCGGAACGAGCGGAATCAAGGAAATGAGGCCAGCGCTGCAGCGGGAGCAACATTCTGGAAAAATGCAAGCGAGAACCCAACTCCGGGGAAACGCGTGTGTAAAAAATAGTAGGGGGTTCGAGCACTTTCAAGCCGTCGTCAGGGGAAGAGGGAGAGTAGTATTCATATTGAATAATTGTGGAGGAGGAGGAGGAGGAGGAGGAGGAGGAGGAGGAGGAGGAGGAGGAGGACAAGGAGGAGGAGGAGGAGCGGAGGAGAGAAGGAGGAGGAGGGAGAGGAGGAGGAAGGGAGGAGGAGGAGGAGGAGGAGGAGGAGGAGGAGGAGGAGGAGGAGGGAGGAGGAGGAGGAGGAGGAGGAGGAGAGTAGGAGGAAGAGGAGGAGGAGGAGGAGGCGGAGGAGGAGGAGGAGGGAATAGGAGGAGGGAGGAGGAGGAGAGAGAGAAGAAAGGAGGATGAGGATGAGAAGGAGGAGGAGGAGGAGGGGAGGAGGGGAGGGAGGGGGAGGGAAGGAAGATGACGGGATTAGGGATGAGGGATGAGGGATGAGGGGAGAAGGAGGGGGAAGCAGGAGCAGGAGGAGGGGGGGAGGAGGAGGAGGAGGAGAAGAGGAGGAGGAGGAGGGAGGAGAAGGAGGAGGAGTGCGGACGCGGAAGAGGAATAGGAGGAGGAGGGAGGAGGAAGGAGGGAGGAAGGAGGAGGGAGGAGGAGGAGCAGGAGGAGGAGGAAGGGGAGGAGGAGGAGGAGGAGGAAGGCAGGAGGAGGAGGAGGAGGAAGGAGGAGGAGGAGGAGGACGGAGGAGGCGGGAGGGAGGCGAGGAGGACGTGCCAGGAGGGAGGAGGGAGGAGGAGGAGGAGGAGGAAATAGGGAGGAGGAGGAGGAGGAGGAATAGGAGGAGGAGGTGTTGGAGGAGGAGGAGACGAGGAAAAGGAGGGGGTTGCGGAGGAGGGAGGAGGGAGAGAGGAGCGAGAGGCAAGGGAGGAGGGAGAAGGAAGGAGGAGGGAGGAGGGGGAGGAGGGAGGAGGAAACGACGTGAGGAGGAGGAAGCGCGGAGGAAAAAGGAAGGAGGAGGAGGAGGGAGGAGTGGAGCAGGAGGAGAGAGGAGGAGAGGAGGAGGAGGGAGGAAGATGGGAGGAGGAAGGAGGAGAGGAAGGAGGAGGAAGGAGGAAGAGGAGGAGGAAGGAGGAGGAGGAAGGAGGAAGGAGGAGGAGGAGGAGGAGGAGGAGGAGGAAGACTCGGCCTTGCGCGTGGTCTGTGCCGATCCCTGACCGCGCGTGAACCCGTGCAATCAGAGCCCTACCTCGAACGATCATCGATCGAGTGCGATGAGGTCGTGAGTAGCGCGCGCCGTGCAGCCTGTCGTACGTGATCGTACCCAGGCAGTCGCAAATCGTGAGACCCCTCGAGGGCTGGGGGGGACACCCCACTGGCCTCCCAGTGCCGAGCCCACGTCGCTGCGGGCGACGGGCAGGCCTCCGAGGCACCCGCCCCGCCCCGAGGAGGGACCCACACTCCAGCAAGCGACGGACGAAAGGGGAACGACGCGGGAGAGAGGGCGACGAGGCGAGAGGGCGAGGCCAAAGCAGGAGAAGAGCAGAGGAAGCAGCGGAGGGGAGTGTGGGTCCCCGAATTCTGGAAGATGGCCACTCCGAGAAGACAGTGAGGACAGTGCCGACGGGGAGCAACGGTGCGAGGGTCACTAACGGCGCACCGCCGGGCAGTCCCCACTCGCGCCGCGCCCCCCGCTCGGCGCGGCCTAGAGGAACGGGGCCTCGGGCATCGAGGTCACGTGGCAGTCAGGTACTCGGTGGTGGTCAGCGCGGGCGTGCACACAAGGCCGCGAATACACCACATAACATCATCAAAGAACGAGAGAGAGCGCGCAGAAGCCGAAGTCGGGCGGCGGCATCAGGTCCGTGGGTGCGAGGAGGACGTCCGTCATACAATGTCATTCTGCGAGAGTTCCCGTGCTCTGATGCGGGCAAAGAGGGCAGCCCGACGAGCCTCCCACGGGGCGGGGCCCGAATCTGGCTGACTTACTTCGCGCCCTTGCCCTTGCTCTTTTGCTTCGTCTTGTCGAGGATGCGCTGCGCCATGGTCTCCAAGTGCCCCTGAGGGGCGGTCCCGAGCTTGAGCTTCGCGTCCTCCAGCTGGGCTAGCTTGATGATCGACTGCTCCACCTCCAGCTTACTCAGGTGACGCTCGGGCGGACCCCCTTGAGCGTCCGCCAGCTGCACCGTGATGTCCCCGCCGATCGCGAACTGCAGTCGTGTGTACTCCTCGTTGTAGCACTTCTTCAAACGGAAGTGCCTGATCACTAATCCTAGCTCCGCGGCCGAGCTGATCGACACGAACTTCTCGTAAAAAAGGACCAGGGTTTGGTACGCCTGAGTCCCCAGCTTCTGCAGCTTCTCTGAATCGACCATCGACTTGAACACGCCGCGCGCTATGTACAAATGTGGTGGCCCCAGGTGGGGCTTCGCTGCCGCGATGGCTGCCGCCTCCGCGTACATCTTGCCTGCTCCTCGCCCTGCGACCACCAGGAAGCTCAGCGACGGGACGACCAGGCACACCCACTCCGACGCCGCCAGGTCCCTCAGCAGCTGCGCGTGCATGCACGCCATCTTGAGCAAAATCGATATGGCCTGCTGCATGTCTCGAGCCCGAAGGGCCCCCTCGACCTGCTGAAGACCGTCTTCTGCCTCGTCTGCTGCGTCCCCGAGGTTGGCCTTTTTTTTCCCCGAGGGTGCTCCTCCGAGGTCCTCGCCGTCGCCTGCCTTGCGCTTGTGCTTCTTGATCAGCAGCTCCAGGTCCATGGACTCCGCGTCTGGTTGCGACATGCCGCGGTCGAAGCCGAGGCCGAGGGAGAGTAGGAGCACCCAGGGCACAGTGTGTGCGTATGTGTACCTGCAGTTGTCGGAGATCTTGAGCCGTGAAGCTGCATACGGGGCATTCGAGTGAAAAAGGTTGAACAACTTCTGCCGCCGTGTAGCTACTGCGTCCAAGAGCGCAGCGATTGTGGGCATAAGACCTCATAACATGTCGCTGAGCATTCTCCCGAGTGCTGAGAACCTGGAGGCACCTGAAACACTGGTTCGTGACCGTGAGAAGTGCTGCCTCGTTTCGAACTTTGTGAACTCTGCCTGCATGTAATAAAAGAGCTTTCATGCTGGTGAATGTGTCACCACACCGCTGCCCCTCTGAGTTCTTCAGATTGCAGACGAACTCGCCAGGGGCGTCCACCTCCTCCTCCACCTCCTCCTCCATCACGATACTCGGGGCCACCGAGGGCCCACTAGGTGGTGCGATCGCTTTAGAAAAATAGGTGGCCCTGATGACTGTGAGGTCAATCGAGGCCCAGTCGTCGAACTCCTTAGTGTAAAATAGACCCAAGAGAGGAAAATCTTCTGGAACTAAGTCAGCGAACTCCTCAGACTGGCTTCTGGCAAACTGGAGGTCCTCAAGTACCTGACGGGCCCAGGGGTTAGCCTTTTCGTGGATGGTCCAGTCGTCGTTCATGCTAGGTATGTCATTGATCGTGCCTAGTATGCATGCCCGAACCTGCCTGTGGGCGCTAGGGTATTTAATCCAGGACTGATACCAGCGTAGCCTCCGAAGTCGCAGTTCGTCTGCCAAGGGAAGGATCTGCCAGTAGGCCCATACCCTGTGAGAGCTCCACTTCCAGCGCACCCCGTCGTGGTCCTCAGTGCCCTTGACCCCGAGACCCCTGCGCATCGCCCTCATCATGATCTTGTCACCCTCGACCGTGAAACTTTTATCTGGGACCCTTCCCTCCATCCCCGACAAGAGAGCACCTTGCACGTACGAAAGGATGGCCATGCGCTTGATGCCGCGGGCAGCCTCGTGGACAAGAAAGTTAGAGATGATGCCGAGGCCAGTCCGTCCAGCCTGGAATCTTTTTCCTTTCTCAATCTGCAACGATCCCTGCACCGTCAGCCAACCGCCGAGGATGCGCATAAATCTGCCAAACTGCCCAGAGAGACGCAGAGTGCCTGCATGCAGGAGGCGGCGTTGGGCGATGCAGCCTTTCCCAAAAAGCCTAGCCAGTGTGACTCGCTTGCCCTCGCTGAGCCCCACGCCGATGCCGTCCAGGGAGGATGCTAACTTACTGCTGCTAACCTGTGCCAGTGCGGTAAGGTGACGTGCCTCTCCTCCTCCTCCAAAGGGTTCAGGTCCTCTTCCTGGGATCACCGTCTTCGTGATATCGTCGGCGTACAGTGTGATGCCCGTGTCCGTGCGTGTGCCGTCCACCTCCTCCGCCTGTGAATACGTGTACGAGCTCGTCCCCGCCCTCCAGCTCAGAAAAGCCTCCAGGCCCTGAAGATAGAAATAAGGGAAGCCTCTGGCAGGATTAGGGTGTCCCATGAGCTCTCCAGAGGTAGGCCTGAGGGAGATGGGCCTGTCGGGTCCCATGATCTGCATCGCCGTCTGCATCGTGCGAGAGTGCTGGAACCTAACGTCCTCGGGGAGGTAGAGGGACTCGAGGCAATTCAAGATCGTCTCTCGTGTCGTACTGGCGAAAGCGTTCGTGGCATCTTCATTGATGATGGCGTGTGATAGCGATAACTTCTGGAGCCTCCAGCTCAAGCAGTCCTGCACCGCGATGGCGTCTTCGCGCCGGCGGCGACGAGCAAAGCCGTGACAAAAATACGGAAGTGGGTCACGGTGGCGACGAGCCCGATTCCAAAGATGGGCGTTCCACGCCTTGCCCATCGGGCAGAAGAGATGTATCCAACGTTGTCCGAGCGGTCCTGGCTTGCCATTGCCCTTGTCCAGGCCCACGATGTGAGAGATGTCGAAGACCAGTGGGGTGGAGGAAGTCCGCCGAAAGGATCCGATGATGTCGAGCATTCTTTCCCTGAAGGCCTGTGCCGTCGCAGGGGTAGGGCACGAACCCACTCCACCACGTTTGAACTTGTGCCACTGGTCGGGGTCGATCAGGATCAGCCAGAGCTCCGACGGCATACTCCACGCGGGTGTAGCTCGTCTCTTCGGTGCCCTGCGGAGCGCCCTGATGACGCCCGAAAGGTCCTGATCTGCCGTCTCTAAATCTGCCATCTGCATCGTGTCGTAGCGCTGCTGGTCCGTGCGGTGAGCCTCGTCCCCCTCGTAGGTGCGGTCGAAGCGCTCCGTCAGCTCCGCCTGTAGGTCGCAGTCCACCGCCGAGAGTCCGCCCTGCTGAGCGGGCAAGCGTAAGAAGTCGGCGATGTCCTGTGGTTCGCAGTTCTCCTCTCGTGCCTTGAAGTACTTCCGATGTCGGGGCCCTCTGCCCTTGCGGGCCAGTCGCCGAAGCAGAGTCTGCACGGCGAAGTGGTCGTGCTCCCTCCAGGCGGAGTTGAGCTCCCCGACCAGCAGGGAGTTGCGTTCCTTGGTGATCTGGCGTGACAGCTGCCTGAGCCTGAACGTGATCCTCGCCAGTTCCAGTTCGACGTCCGCGCGTGCCTGACGGGGAGCAACGGTGCGAGGGTCACTAACGGCGCACCGCCGGGCAGTCCCCACTCGCGCCGCGCCCCCCGCTCGGCCCGAGTCTCGACCAATATGAAGTTCACGCAACCGTCGGCGACGTGCCAGGATCTCCGAACGCAGCCTCTCCAGAACCGACTTCTCAGCCGCCGAAGGTGAAGGGCGTAAAAACTCCGTCAGCGCCGCCTCCCTGAGCAGCACCGAAATAGAGTTCCACAGCTCGTCTGTCGTAGGCCGTGAGCAAAGCCGTACCCATTCATCTTCAGGGATGGTCAGGATGGCTTCGTGGACCCGTTCCACCGCAGAGGTGCACTCCTCCCCGCCGCGCAGGATGCGCGACATGGTATCGAAGTCCCAGCACTGCCTCTGGGTAGAACTGGCCTCGAAGCGGTAGCTGCATTCCATGAAGACGGGGCGGTGGTCCCTGTCGTCCAGGGTATTCACGGGCTGGAGCCGCCTCCCCGCAGGTCGAAGAACACGGCAGACTCGGACGTGAGGAAGCAAGCCCGTCGGAGCGTGGATAAAGTCTATCCGCGACGTGTGTCCCAGTGGCCCGTGAAACGTTGGCCCAGCTGGGTAGTGCGTGTTGATCGCGCTCAGCGCCGTGTCCCTCAGCACCTGGTGCCAATTCTTGCCAGCGAAGTGCTCCAACTCAGCACCACAAGGGCCCACGTGTGCGACGGCTTCCCGTTCCCAGTCCCAATCGGCTCCGTGTGTACTGGTGTCCCGTGGGGCCGTGACGCACTCGCCGTCCAACGTGTCGTCTGCGCAGAAGCCCAGTTGGTCATTCAAATCGATGCCGACAAACGGTGTGCACCTGGAGCCCACTCCGTTGATGACCGACTTCGCCCAGTTGCAAAGTCCCAGCACGACGTTCCGATACTGTGTACGTCCGCCGCGGAGAGACGGAAGAGTGGGAAGTAGAGCACCATGAATAGAACGTCCGAGGTCTGTGATTTTAAACGTACTGCTCCGCCACGTCCACTTAAGAAACTGGGCGGCGTGAAAATCTTACGAATGAAGTTCCTCGGGAAGCGCCTCTGGTGGAGGAAGATCGACACCCCGCAACTCTTGTTGGAGGCCCTCGTCCACCCGAAACTCAGTTCCCAGTGATAAGGATGAAGGAAAAGTGAGTGTGTGTCCTCTGTCTGGCGACGGGAGGTACCTGGCAGCATGATAGCTCCAATATTTTTGAATTCGTCAGAGACCTCCGATGCCCGCGTAGCCCCCGTCAAGAACATGGGATTATAGACGCACGTCCGAAGTGTGAATGTGTTGCCATCTTCAGCGTGGGGGCGGGTCCTCTCCATCACCAGGGCGCCAAGCACGCCCAGCTGCAGGAAGGCGAAGGCGCTCACGGCGAGGAGCCAGCGCCTCGCGCGAGGGGCCCGACCCCCTCTCTCACGGGCGAGGAGAGCCCCTCGAGGGAGAAGCCATGCCGCTGAAACACCTGACTTTGTAAGGAAGTGTACTGAAGTGCCGCGGGAAAGGGGGGTGGTCTGGGCCGCTGCAGCGGCTGGAGGAAGGAGGAGGAGGAGGAGGAGGAGGAGGAGGAGGATGGAGGAGGGAGGAAGAGGAGTGGCAGCACCTTGGGGGAGCCGCATGAGGAAGAGGAGGAGGCACAGGCTGTCTCTGTGAGATATGCCCTGCCGAGGATACTTCCCTTGCCAAGCTTGCTCCTTCGGGCGCGCACGTTGGCCGCACTAGTCTTCCGACTTCGCCGCGAGGCTGCGCAAGCGGCTGCGGAGCAAAAAAAGGATGGGGAGGAGGCGAAGGAGGAGAGCTCGGCACTTGCGCCAGAGGACGGCCAGCCTGGAGGGTACCCACCGCCCCAGGAAGGCGAAGACAACGACGAGGACGAGGACAAGGACGAGGACGAGGACGACGAGACTTCAGGAGAGCGGAAGTCGCGGGTCGGGCGAAAGGGGAGGTAGGCAAGGGCGGGGGCGGGAATCTGCTCACGTACGTAGCTGGTTTTCCTGGCGCCTCCCGGCGAGGAATGCGCCCAGCAGCGAGGCCGAAACCAGCTGCACGCAGCAGATGTCGTACAGTCAAAACGTGTATTAAGGACGGATGGTAAGGACGCAACACCCTTGGAGGCCGAAGTTGGGATTTTGTGGGCTGCGGGCGACCAGTGAAAACGGCAAATGACGGGCCGCAGAGGCAAGGACACAAGGGTACCCTAGATGACGGCACGCGTCCTTACTACGCGCGTTGACTGTACCCCTCCCCCCCTTCCTGCCCACCCTTTTGTCCGACCCGAGGATCTGGGTGGGAAGCTGGCGGCGCTACGAAGGAAGGCGCAATCTTATGCGGTCGGCCGGGGCATTCTCCCGGATGTCGAGGTTGTAGGTGCCGTCGGACCTCCGCCCATCAGGGGAGGCTGCCAGAGATCTTGATGGTCGGGTGTCCCCGGCTTTTCGCGCCATGTCGGATCCCCAGGGGGCCTGCTGGACCTCGTGAGGGGAGCTCTGGGGGCCGTCCGTTAAGGCCTCCCTGGGAAACCTGGGGACACGATGGGTCAGGGGCACCTGGAAAAAACACCCAACACCACCTCCTGCTCCGCCTCCTGCTTCCCAGGGAGAAGCGAGGGGGAGGAAGACGGGTTCTCAAACGTCTTGGAGTGTTCCAGTCCTGCGCCATCTGAACCTCCGCTCGCTGCTCCCGCTCATCCTTCTCTACCTCATCCTACTTCATTGCCCACCTCCTCATCATCATCCTCCGCATCTTCCTCCTCCTCGCATATGTTTCTCATGTGTCCTCCGCCTCCTCCTCCTCCTCCTCCTCCTCCTCCTCCTCCTCCTCCCCCTCATCATCATCATCATCATCATCATCATCATCATCATCATCATCATCATCATCATCATATCATCATCATCATCATCATCATCATCATCATCATCATCATCATCATCATCGTCAGCATCATCATCACCATCATCACCATCATCATCATTATCATCATCAGCAGCAGCATCATCATCATCAGCATCATCCAACCCCTGCCCCTCGTCATCATCAGAATCATCATCATCATCATCAGCATCATCATCAGCAGCAAAAGCAGCAGCATCATCATCGTCATCATCATCAGCAGCATCATCATCAGCATCATCGCCATCATCATCAACATCATCACCATCATCAGCATCATAGTCATCATCATCATCGTCATCATCATGATCCGCATCATCATCATCATCATCATCGTCATCATCATCATCATCAGCAGCATCATCATCACCATCGTCATCATCATCAGCATCATCACAATCATCATCACCACCACCATCATCACCATCATCATCATCCTCGTCATCACCAGCATCATCATCATCATCATCATCACCACCATCACCATCCCATCACCATCACCATCATCATCATCATCATCATCATCATCATCATCATCATCATCATCATCATCATCATCCTCACCATCCGCATCAGCATCATCAGCAGCATCATCATCCTCATCATTCTCAACATCAGCATCATCATCCTCATCCTCAGCCCCCTCCTGATCCTCATCATCATCCTCATCCGCGTCCATCATCATCCTCATCCTCATCATCATCACCATCATTATCATCATCAGTCACATCATCATGATGATCAGCATCATCATCACCATCATCACTATCATCATCATCGTCATCATCATCAGCATGAGCATCGACATAATCGTCACCATCATCATCATCAGCAGCAGCATCAGCATCATCATAATCATCATCCTCAACATCATCATCATCATCATCAGCAGCAGCAGCAGCAGCATCATGATCAGCAGCATCAGCAGCATTAGCAGCAGCAGCAGCATCAGCATCAGCATCAGCATCAGAATCATCATCTGCATCAGCATCAGCATCAGCATCAGCATCATCGTCATCGTCATCGTCATCATCCTGCTCCAAAGAATTGCTTCTTCTGATCATCATCCTCGTCTTGCTCCTCCCCCTCCTCATCATCCTCCTCAAAGTTGTAGGCGCCGTCGAACCCTCCAGCCGTCGGCGGGTTGTACGAGCGAACCACTGCAGGTAGCCGGCCATGAGAGCTGGAGCTCTGGTACTCCACCTGCCCCCCATTTCCCTTCTCCCTCCATCCCTCCTCCGTCGTCATCATCCCTCCCCTTCCTCCTCTTGCTCCTCTCCCTGTTCCTCCTCCTCCTCCTCCTCCTCCTCTTCCTCCTCTTCCTCCTCCTCCTACTCCTCCCCTCCTTATCAAATGCCTCGTTCTTAAAGATACCCCCCTGTCGCACTACCAGACGTGCCCGAAGGCTGGGCCGGGCGTTGCTCTTGAGATTTCTTCGCAATCGGCTGAGGCTAAAAACTTGTGGTTCTCGCCGTATCGCCACGCACCTTCGCTCTAAAAACGTCAAACCGCTGTACACGCGAGGAGCGCCGGTGGTTTTCAAAATGTGGCTCTCGCCGCAGGGCCGCGCGCATTTTTCTCAACCATCCTCTTGTGTTGGGTTCTCACCGTGAAGAGACGGCGCCCAGCGTCCTCCTCCTCCTCGGTCGGTCGGTCGGTCCCCAGGCGGGATGATGCCGAAATCAGGAAGGAGAAGATGCGTGGTTGAGCCCCAGTGGTTGCGCCCGCATGCCGCCACCACCCCACTTGGGCGCACCCCTTACACGCTTCGTGGCCCCACAGGAAACTTCACTCTAAGGCCCTGATGGTTGCGCCCGCATGCCGCCAACACCCCACGTTGCCGGAGCCCTCAACGCTTCACGACCCCAAGAAGAAATTCCACCTGAGGCCCCAGTGGTTGCGCCCGCATGCCGCCCCACATCACCACCACCACAGTTTGGCGCACCCCTCACACGTTTCCTGGCCCCATACAGAGCTCCACCTAAGGGCCCCGTGATTGCGCCCGTATGCCGCCACCACCCCACTGGGGCGCACCCCACTTGGGCGCACCCCTCACACGCTTCGTGGCCACATAAGGAGCTCCACCCAAGGCCCCAGGTGTTGCGCCCGCATGCCACCAACGGCAACACCCACTTTGGCGCATCCTTCACACGCTTCGTGGCCCCATAAGAAGCTCCGCATAAGGCCCAAGCGCCCGCATGCCGACCTCCCCCCACCACCACACTTGGGGCACCCCTCACAAGTTTCGTGGCCCCACAGGGAGCTCCACCTAAAGCCCCAGTAGCTGTGCCCGCATGCCCTTCTCACTACACTTTGGCATACCCCTCACATGTTTCGTGGCCCGCCCAATAGGAAGCTCAATCTAAGGCCCCAGTGGCTGCGCTCGCATGTCTTCTCCATTGAATCCCCATTGAACCCGTCTTAGATCGCAGGGCCCTTATGTGGAGGTATGGAGCTTCCAATTATGAGCTCTTGCCCCTGACGCCGCATAGTGAAGAGTGGCATCAGGCCAAAGGGAACCACTTGGTGGACCTCCTTGCCAAAACAGCTGCACTTTTGCACTCGCGGCCCTCCGCTTTCTGAGCTCGACTGGCTTTCGTCACGTTTGCACGAGCTCTAGCGCGGCACCCGACCTTTGCAGTGCAAGGCCTGTTGCAGCGGTCCTCGGTGGCCCCCCCTGTCCAAAAGCACGGCTGGAGAGCGGGGGGGGCTACGACGCCTCGACGTTCGTCGCCAGGGGTAGCTGCAGGCCAGGAAGAAACTGCTGCTGCAGGGCCATCGAACCCCGTCCCCGCCCCGCCCCTTCCCACCCAAAGGGGCAGGCCGACCAGGAGGGAAACGGCTAGACCCGACGGGGTTGGGGATGAGTTTACCGACCCTGGCCCCCCGAACCTCAAAGGGGGCGGCGACCCTCCTGGCGGCAACCCCGCCTAGCCAACTACGCGCGCACCCAGCCCGTACAGGTTAAATTTCTGCGGCGCCAGATGGGGCTGGGACATCGAACGCGCGCCTGCCCCTCCCTCGCCCCCTTTCCTCACAGTGACCCTGCCGCAACTGGGGCCCCAACTGCTGGCGGCCATCGCCAGGCATGCAGGCGCGCCGAAAGCGCGCGGTAGATCTGCCTGCGGCGCGGTCCGCGGCCTGCCGCCGCCCGCGCCCGTTCGCAAGGAGGCGCACCCCGGGCTGCTGGAGCTCGCTGCTGACCCTCATGGCCACGCCCTGCACGTGACCCAACACTTTTTTGATCTGCAAGGCGAGAGCGAGCCTCTTCCGCTAGAAGCAAAGCGGGCCGCGCACAACTTTAATTAGCAGAGAAAAAGCACAAGAAGGCGGGGCCTCACGCGGCCGGGAGAGGGCGAAGCCCAGGGATCAGGCGGTGCCGAACGGGACGTGCAGGAAAAGGTACGCCTTGGACAGGAGCCCGGTGGTGAAATCCCGGGAGGAACAAAGGCCGCACGTGACCCAGCACACTGGCGGAACCATTCTCATCTGCACCGCTCCCCGCGCGCAGCTCGGCGCGGAGGTCCTCGATCCCGCCTCCAGGGAGCCAGGGCGCGGCGCGGGGGGGGCGGGGCCCGCGCCGCGCTCCCCCGTCGGGCACGGGCGGCCCGTCCTCGGAGCCCGGGCCCCGAGGGCACTGTCCGCAGCGCGCGCGCGGCGGCGGAGGGCCAAGAAAGCACCGCGAGAGGGGTGGGAGAGGCCGAGGCAATCGAGCGGCGAGGGGGCGGGGCCAGGGCGCGCAGAAGCTCAGCAACGAAGGGTACGAGCCTGGGGCAATCCCAGCCGCGCCCTGTGCCATCGGGGGCTCCAGGACAGCCTGGCAAACAGACGCAGCCCCGGGTTTGCTGGGCCGTTTTCTGGGCCAGCGAGCTCTTCGGCCGACAACATTCTGAGACAACCATGAGCGCGGCACATCTCCATGCCATTCAAATTGGCTTGCACCAGCGGCCAAGGCACAATACAAATCCGGTCGATCTCGTCGGGAAACCAGGTATGGGGACGACGGGCCAAGAGTTCCGTCCAATCGCATGGAATAAGCACACGTTTAAACTGAGCAAGTAGGAGGCGTTGGATCTTGAATTTGTCGGGGCCCACGGCTTCATCGCGGTCGCATCGGACGCTCCGGAATTCATCTCTCACCTCGTCGCGCTGGGAATGGCTGGGGAACGCGCGGAAGGCCTCGTCTGCGTGCTCACAGGCCGCTCTCGCCCCCCAAAAAACCGAGGGACTTTTTGGACCGCGGAGGAGGAGGAGGAGGAGGAGGAGGAGGAGGAGGAATAGGAGGGGGGGAGGAGGAGGAGGAGGAGGAGGAGGAGGAGGAGGAGGAGGAGGAGGAGGAGGAGGGCGCGGCTCGGCCTCGGCACCATAGGCCAGGCGGAAGCGCTCCACGCGCCGGGCCTTGCAGGTAGAGGCGGCCGCTCTCGCGGGCGGCCAGCGACGACGCTGCACGCGAGGTTATTGTCGGCCGGCCCCATGATCCGAGATCGCTTCGGGCTGTTCGGGATAACGCAAGAAAGGGGAGGTTGAAGATACACGATGGCTTAGCCGACTCTTCGCGGAGCATGCTCTTCGGGGGCGGCAGGAACTGTGCCGCGCGCGAAAGCGCAGAGGCTCCTTCTTGAATGACACGCTGGGGCGTGGGATTGGGCGAACAGCATGCTTCGGGCGGGCCACTTCAGCACTGGGGCCTTCCAGGAAATCTGTTCAGCGTGTGGGTCCAGCCAGTCCCGAGCACATCACTGTCATTCGGGCGCCAGCGCTGTCGGCCTAATATTGCGCAAGGGTCTGAGCGCCCACGAGAATCCACCAACGAGAGGCGAAATCTTGCACTTGGCCGGTTTCGAAAAGAGGCCAGCTGTCTTCTCGGCGACAGAAAAGTCGCGGAACAGAACCAAGGCTGCCCCGACTTCGCCTGCACAAGCTCTCGCGGATCCTCTCCCTGTAATAGGGGAACATAAAGTGGCATAAACATAAAAACTCGGAGGTCCGCGCGGATTTCTCGGATCGGCGCCGAACCCCCCTCCCTGGCGCGCGGAGCGCGCCAGGGGCGGCGCCGGAGGCGCCGCCAGGGGGGTCCAGCGCCGATCCGAGAAATCCGCGCGGACCTCCGAGTTTTTATGTTTATGTCACCTTCTGTTCCCCTATGTAACATCCACATGCAGCGCGCAGTCCTGGGGGGCGTGGTCGGAGGCAACTGCACATGAGAGTCCACTGGCCGGGCAGGCCTGGGCCGCCCCTGCCAGGATTGCAAAATACAGCACCATCCCGCACAGACAGGTGGTCGAAAGAAAACACTGCCAGGCAGCTGCAGGTGATCCAGGAACCAGAGAAGAGGTGGAGGCATCGCGATAGCTCGAAGGCTCTCCAGGAGGAAGTGGTGGGCCAGGGAGGGGGAGGCCTGCTGGAAATCCAAGGGGGCGAGCAGAGGTAGGCCGGCGGAGGCCGAAGCGGACGTCGACGACGCGCCGTCTACTTCAAGAGTTGTGTCGCCTCAAGACGGCGCAGGGAAAGCCGGGAACACCCGCTGGCAAAATGTGCCGCGCAAGCTCCAGCGAGCATGTTGTTGCCGGTGCTTTTCAGCCCTGCAGGGGTCGGAGACAGCCCGGGGCGCAGGTCGCACCAGCTCTGCATCAGGGCCATCTCCCTTCGGCAAAGACCATATCCCTATGCTGGGCACCTCCTCATCACGATGCCAATCTTAGGGGCTCCCTTATTTTTTTGAGGGCGAATCCCTAAGATTGTCATCGCCTTTTGGCGTGTCAATATTAGGGATAGGGATACGTTCGAGGCTGGTAAACCCGGAAGGTTGCTGCATCCCAGCGGCAGTCTGCCGCCCTCGCACAGCACGCAGGACGTCGATCGCACGGGGGGAAAGCCGCCACGCCGAGTAGGCCAAGTAGTCGGGCCCAGGAGCGCTGTCGGATTGTCGCATCACAAACCGTCGGAGCGTCTCGTAGGTCGAAGGGTGGAGGTCGCTGAAGTCGAAGTGGGAGGCGAATCGTTCGGCATACCTGTCGGCGGTCGGTCCATGGGTCGGTTTCTTCGCAAACAACTGCCCCCAATGGTCGGTAATCGCTCGAGATATGTCGGTCGGCGCCGCATGTTCCAAGCCGTCAGTCACAACCGCACGTAATTGAACGCGCTTGTCAAATAGGGCCCACAATTGGCCACACTTGTGAAGGCGTTTAAGGCGGACACGGTTTTTCTTTCTGTGGGCCTCGCCGGTCGTATCGTTTAATTGTCGCTGCAAGGCTTGTTCTCGGTCGTTTGTAAGTCGGTCGTTTGGGCGCGGCCAATCGCAGCCGCAAAGTCGGCAGGACATCGAGTCCGCATCGTCCTCTGAAGATTAAGACAGTCAAGCTGCAAGTTCTCATTGGCGATTGGATGAGCCTGCACTAGCACACTGGCAAGCTTGAAGTCCGAGAGGAGGATCAGCTTCGCGAGGTTGGGAGCCTGGGTGAGGACGGCCTGCCATGCGCACTTCGCCCCTTCGAGCACCAGATGCTTATAAGACTGGAGTTGCATGGGCGGGGGGAGAGAGAAACAAAGAGAGACTGGAGGTCGATGGAGGAGAGGTAGGACTGAATGCGTGGCGAATAATTACTTCGGAATCGGACGCTCCCCAAGAGTTTTCGGAACCTGCCCGCGTAGCTCCGCAAGACATCCCACTTGGTCGGAAACTCGTTCGTGAATGAGTATCATCATATCCCCGACTGCGTTCCCCGTCACACGTAGTTGTGTAACCACCCACCCAGTGAGAGAAACAACACACACGATCCAGGATAGAGGTAGTAGTATATTTCTTGTTGTCGTGGGAAGCGTCGGGTTGGTCAAGCTCTGTCATGGCTGAGAAAAGACCCGTCCAGGCACGGTCCTGGCTAGCTCTCCAGTTCGCGGCCGCTCTTTGTGAGACCTCCCCAGCCTCAGGAGCAACCGTCGGGCATGGTGGGCAAGCAGAGAGGCTGAAGTCGCAAATCACCGGTGGGGCCTCTCGGGCTGCATCTAGGTCAGTACGTATGGCCTCGTGCAAGGCACGCATCATCGCATCAGGGAATCTACAATTGTGTACGTCGCAATGGATTAGCCAACCGTCAGTCCGAGGGAACGATTTTGACCTTCAGAGCACGCCCAGGAATGAGCGTAGTCGAACAGATTTTAGGATTTAGATTTTCAGACTCACCCCTCATCCCAGAAAGTTCTGGCACAAACGTGACCACACCCCCAGTGTTGGCCGCATCTGCCAGCGAATAATAAAACGAGTGGGATCCACTCGCAAAGTGAAGGAAGTCCCGTATTTCAACTCCGGTGCCGATAAATTCCTGAACCGCCACAACAGGTAGGCGTACTTCTTCGCATGGATGGGATAGCCAAGGTGGGGGTCCTGCTGGCGGACGAGGGATCGGGCGCTCCATGCCGCCAAGCAGAAAGTCTTGCGCGATGGGCATAAGCCTTGGCAGCGGGCAAGAAACGTGTTAAAGAGACCACCCAGGATCAGGTGAGGCGGCCTCGAAGAGCGCAGCAAACTTCCTCTGAAGCGGGCCCTTCTCGATATTGAACGCGCGCAAGTTGGCGGCGGAGCGCTCGACCGTGGGAGGGTCTGATCCAGCAGTCGGCGTGTAGCGAACCAGACCTTTCCAGTTGAATGTGAGGATGCCCGTCTCCCGGTCGATGTAGAACTTCTCTTGTGGATGCAGCTCCTCAGCTTCACGTTTGATGAGATGAATGCCCGTCTCTCGCTGGACCGTCTGCATCGCTCCTCCTCCTCCTCCTCCTCCTCCTCCTCCTCCTCCTCCTCTTCCTCCTCCTCCTCCTCAACATCCTCCTCCTTCCCCTCCCTTCCCCCCCACCCCTCCTCCTCGCCCCCTTCCTCCTCCAGCGCGCCACCGGCGTCCCAGGCGGCCAGCTCTCCGTCACGGAGGGGTCGGGGCATATGTTGGCCACCTTGGCGTGCCGCCGCACCAGGAGGTCGTACGTGCCGTCCTCGGGGTTGAAACAGGTGACCTCGGGCATGACCCCGCGGGGGTGAGACGGCGTGGAAGGCGGGCGATGGAGGAGGACAACGAGGAAAAAGGGTGGCGACGGGGAGGGGAGGGGAAAGAGGAGAAGCGACGAGGGGAGGGGAGGGTGAGGGGGAGGATGGGCAGGAGGCGAATTCGGATAGAACAGGATAGGACCGATCGCGAAGCGAGGTGACACTACCAACACACACTGGCACAAGCATTCGGCTCGGTTCTGGCTACGGCTAGTTATGTTGGAGCCAGCTTGCCCTCATATAGTTTACGGATGACACTCTTGGATTGAAGCCCCCATTTTCGCGCTCCCGTAAAACCAGCATGCGCTGCAAAACCATAAGCCGAGCTCATGAGTAGTAAGCATCGTGCGGCTGGAAGGTGTCCCGCTCCCGCCCATGTGCATACAGCATGCACTTAACGGGCGAAGAACGGTATAACATAAACTTTTTCGCTGTCGGGGGCGCCTGTCCTAGGGCGGCTGGAAAGTTTATACCCTTACGGTGGCACCGTAGGGGTATAAACTTTCCAGCCGCCCCAGGGACAGGCGCCCCCGACAGCGAAAAAGTGTATGTTATACCGTTCTTCGCTCTCTCATACGCTGAGCCCTTCGGCAGTCTGGACAAATTCTGGTCCCGAGGAACCGGCTCCAGACACGGGCTGGCATCTCCACTGCGCGAGGGTGGCCTGCGCAGCGCTGCCGCGACAGCGCAGGCAACTGTTTCCCCCATCCCCGGACAGCGAGCGGGAGGAGGCGAAGGGAAAGCAACAGCAGCAGCACCAGGCGGGGACGGGGGCAGCGGCCTGTTTGTTTGTCTTTGTTCCCAGAGCGAAATGACACCACAGATGAGGAAAACGACGCGCCTCGAATGCAACCTCTTTGTTGCACCGTACCGAGCACTCCATGCCCCTGGACCCCTTTCAAAGCAGGGAGCAACAGAACACGGGGGCAGCGGCCTGTTTCCCCTTCTCCGCCAAAACGTTTCGCGGTTATGACGGCCTCCAGATTCGCTCGCCAAAGAAGGCGACGCACCAATCGAAGCGTAATTCGGCGGTGGACAAACCTGCCTTTAGTAAACCTCCCCTCAGTGACAACGGCCTGGGACCGAAACCGACGGACTTGGACCCGCAAAAACGACGGCCGCGACGCCCTCTCGCGAATTGAAAACGGCCAATTCCTCAATCGACGTGTCAGGGTAGGAGGTCTTTCCACCTCCGAGTAATGCTCGGGTCTGGCGGCTCTGTGACGGGTCGTGGGGTCGAGACGGCCCTCGAAGGCAGCGTGTCGCGCCGGTTCGTCGGCAACCGTGCTGCCGAGCGCCACCCATTGAATCCATGGCGGGCATCGGGATCGAACGAGGTCTTCGGCTGGTGGTGGGACGAGAGTTGCAGCACGGCGATGAGAGGGAGAGGTGGTGGTGGAGGGTAGAGAGGAAAAGGGGGAGGAGGAGGGGATTGAGGACTAGAAGAAGGGGAGGGGAGGGGACGAGAGGGAGGAGGACAACGAGTAGGGGAAGGACGAGGGCGTGGGGGGGAGGAGGAGGAGGAGGAGGAGGAGGAGGAGGAGGAGGAGGAGGAGGAGGAGGAGGAGGAGGAGGAGGAGGAGGAGGAGGAGGAGGAGGACGGGGCGGGCCAGGAGGCGAATGCTGATGCGGAGGGGGCGACAGCGACGACGGGGAGGGAAGCAACAAGCGGGGCCTCCGTGGAAATGTAGGTGCCCCATGTGGCGGAATGGTACCGGCACTTGGTGCCGGGGCCGAGGATGCCATCGACGGCGCCCGCTTTGGCCCTGGCCTTGCTGCTGGGCACCTGCGTCAAGCCAGCGAGATCGAGTCAGATCACCCCCCCTCATTCTCCTCCTGCTGCTAGCCTGCCCTCACCATCCACCTCCTCTCTCCCCCTTTACACGCAACTCCCGTCCTCCTCCCCTCCCCATCCAGATCCAGCGCCCCTCAGCCTCCACACCCTTTCCCTCGCCCCCCGCCTCCATCATTTCTCCGCCCCCTTCCCCGTTTTCCCCTCCACCATCGCCTCCCCCCTCCCGCTCCAACCTCCCCCGCTCTGCTCCCTCTCCCCCCCCCCTCTCGCATGTGTCCGGTCATCGGCTCCTGGGCAGAAGAAGCAGTCTCTCGCGGCAGACGGCAGGGCACCGGAGGAGCAAGCGCCAGGTGCCGAGAGACGGGGGCAACAACCCGCCAGGGCGCGGCACCCTGGCGAGCCGAGGAGCCGCTTGGCGTGCCACCAGGCGAAGCTGCCTGGCGACGAACATTCTTGGCGCACTCGAGTTCCAACAAACAAAAAAATTAGCCTGGCAAAGGACACAACCATATGCAATTGTGAATACCGCAAATATGAATATCGTTTTCGGTGGCGCCACCTCTGGGTAGGGGAGACGCATGCGAACACCCCCACTGGGGCCTTCGGTGGAGCTCCCTATGGGGCCACAAAACGCTGCCCTGGGTGGGGGAACCGCATGCGGGCACCCCCACTGGGGCCTTCGGTGGGGCTCCCTATGGGGCTACGAAACGCTGCCCTGGGTGCGGAAACCGCATGCGGGCACTACAGTGGAGCTCCCTATGGGGCCACGAAGCGCTGCCCTGGGTGGGGGAACCGCATGCGGGCACCCCCACTGGGGCCTTCGGTGGAGCTCTCTATGGGGCTACGAAACGCTGCCCTGGGTGGGGGAACCGCATGCGGTCACCCCCACTGGGGCCTTCGGTGGAGCTCCCTACGCTGCCCTGGGTGGGGGAACCGCATGCGGGCAGGAGGAGGGGGGGTGGGGATGAAGGGTGAGGAGGAAGGAAGGAAGGAAGGAAGGAAGGAAGGAAGGAAGGAAGGAAGGAAGGAAGGAAGGAAGGAAGGAAGGAAGGAAGGAAAGAGACGCGGGGCGCTGTCTCTTCAAAACGAGGACTCAACACCACAGGATGGTAGGGAAAAACAAGAGTATACCCTAGCCCGCTTCGATCGGTCGGAGGAGGCGGAGATCTCCACCTCCTCCGACCGATCGAAGCGGGAGGCCCCTTCCTTGCCCCCTGGAGCCGCCGAGGACGAGCCTGGGGAGAATCCGCCCCCAAGTCTGCGGAGGTCCCTGGCGATCTCGAGGCCTCCCAGGGCCATCCAGCGGAGGCCTCCCAGTGCGGCCGTCTCCAGAAACGCCGGAGACCTGCGGAGGCCCTCCGAGAACGTCCAACAAAAGCCGCCGAGGGCCTCTTGTTACGTATAATAAATTCATCCCTCAAAAAACATGTCAAGAAGATGTACATTCTAGGCCGGAAGAGCATCCCTCAAGAACAAATGACCCTCCGTCGGACAAGACAAGCAGAACGTCCAAGGGTGCCCTCCCCAGAATGCACAAGAAGACCCAACAGACACGGAGAGCACGAGGGCACCCTCCCCGAACCGACCTCGATCTTATATCTCGGTCCGACTGAGAGAGCGCGTTTCACGGGCGCTTGCCTTGGGAACATTCGGCGGCGCGTTTCGAACCAGGGGGTGGGCGCCCCCCCAACACTCGGCGCCGTCCATCAGAACCAGGGGGACTCCCCTCCCCCCTCCCCCCCCGTCCCGAACCCCCCCCCTCCCAAAGGGAGAGGGGGGGTTCCAACCCCCCCCCCTCCTCGGCGCCGGCGCCGCCGGCGCCCGCGGTGGCAGCCGCCAGCAGCGACGATGACCAGAGAGGGCCCAGGGAAGGCGGGGGGGGAGAGCTCCAAACCCCCCCCCCGCGCTGGCGCCGGCGCCGGCGCCGGCGCAAGCGCTGGCGGCGGCCAGCAGCGCCGACGGCGGGGACGCAGCGACGATTGCCACCACTACCACCACCACCACCATTACCACCACCACCACCACCTCAACCCACCACCACCACCACCACCAACCCACCACACAACCACCACCACCACAGCCACTACCACCACCACAACCACCACCACCACCACAACTCACCACCACCACCACCACCACTACAAAAACCCACCACCACTACCACCACCACCACAATTTATCACACCACCACCGCCACCACCGCCGCCACAACCACTACCACTACCAGCAGAACAACCCACCACCAACACCACAAGCCACCACACCACGACCACCACCACCACTGCCACTATCACCACAACCAGCACCACAGCCACAAACCACAGCCACCACCACACCACCACCAAATCACCACCACCACAAAAAAAAAAACCACCACCACCACAACCACCACTGCCACACCACCACCACCACCACCACCACACACCACCACCACCACAACAACCAACACCACCACCACAAACCACACCACCACAAACCACACCACCACCACTACCACCACCGCCACAACCACCACCACCATCACCACCACCACCACCACCACCACCACCACCAGCCCACCACCACCGCCACCACGTCAGAGAGGCCCCAAGAGACGCCCAAGAAGCGCCCAGGAGGGTGCACAAATGCCCTTCAGAGGCCCCCGAGAGCCCTCCGACGAGACCCCAAGAGGCATACATCATGACCTCGACCCAAAACCAAGGCACGGATGGCGGAGTGTCGTCGTCGTCGTCGTCGCCGTCGTCCTCGTCGACGCTCCCCGCCGCCGCCCGCCGCCGCAGGCGCCAGCGCCGGCCCAGAAAAGGAAGTCGTCGTCCCCGCCGCCGCCGCCAGCCGCCGCGACGCAGGCGCCGGCCCGACGAGAGAGAGAGAGGAGAAATAGGGGAGGAGTGGGAGAGGTAAGGGGGGGGGTCGAAACCCGCCCCCCTTCTACGTCACGGGAGGGGGGGGGGGGTCGAACCTCCAAGCGACCACAGAACGCGCTCGTTCGTCCGACTGCAAGTCCTCCTTGTCGCGCCCCGAGGCTGGTCGAAAGGCGGACCCGGCGTTGCGCCCGAGAGTGCCTCGCAAGCTTGCCATTTGCAACAGGTACACGGACGGAAAGCTGGTGGTTTTCTAGATGTGGCTCTCGCCTCTGCGCCGCGCAAATTCGTCTTAGCAAATTGCAAGAGCTTCGCGGATTGAGGGCGGGTGGTTTTCAAAATGTGGTTTTCCCCTGAGCGTCGCGCACAATCGTCTTACCAGCTTTGCAAGAGCTTCACGGATTGAGGGCGGGCGATTTTCAAAAATGTGGCTCTCGCTTGAGCGCCGCACACAGTCGAACGAATTGAAGGCGGCTCCTGTTCAAAATGTGGCTCTCGCCTTAGCACCGCGCGCAGTCGTCCCAAAATGAATTGTAGGACTTTCACGGATGCCCATGATTAAAGTACCATACATGGCGTTTGGAACGATACCAGATTGCCTGGGCGCAACAATTACGTTGATTCGCGGTGTTGAAGTCCCAAGAATGGCCATCTGGCGCGAGTCCGGATCGTCAAGACGCAACAGTCAGGTTGATTCGTGGCGTTGTAGTTCCGAGAACGGTCTTGGCACGCTTCAGGATCTTACAACCGTTGTCTCCCAGCGGGGCACTTCCCTCAATGGGCATGAATCCTTGTATCGGGCCTGTGACCAGGGAGTTTGGAGGGAGGGTAGATTCCAACATCGTTGGTGAGTCTTGGGTTTACACTGGTCGACCTCTTCCTCCTCCTCCTCCTCCTCTTCCTCCTCCTTTTCCTCCTATTCCTTCTCCTCTTCCGCCTCTGCTTCTTCTCCTTAGTAGTATTATTCGTGCTATTATATCCGTTTTTTATTATTACTACCATTCGTATCATTATTACTAGTACCAATATTACTATTCTTATTAGTATGCTGGTATTAATATTACTAGTAATCTTCCAAATACCAGTATTCTTACGACTGGTAATTTATTATTTTTATGGTTGTATGAATTACTAGTGAGATTCCTCGTCCTCTTCCTCCTCCTCCTCCTCCATCGCCTCCTCCTCCTCCTGGACTCGACATTGCGGAAAGGTTCGATTCTAACCGCCAACATTCACGCCTCCAGGCCCGTCCAACGGGCCTCAAACGAGCCAGTCGACCCACACGCCGACGAGGTTCGCGATGTGCCAAGCGGGGGGGAAGGGGCAGGCGGCGCCCACCCTCCACGGGAGGGCGCATCATCGCCGACCCTTCCGCTGCCTCCCCCGCCCCGCGCCAGTGCCGGGGACCGCATCCACCGCCTCCACGAGCCAGGCTCGGAGTCGGTGGAGCGGCCAGGTGGCGTAGTGCGGCTGAAAGTCGGCCACGCGCGCCCCAGGCGTGCGGACCCACGCCGAGATGAGCGCGGCCCGCTCCGCCGACTCGCCCAGCACGGGCTCCACGCTGTCGGAGGAGGCGGCAGCCGCGGGTGGCGCCACCAGCAGCGCCAAGGCCGACCCCTCGGGCGCCGCGCCACCGCCCGCCGCCGCCGCACCAGCAGCAGCAGCAACATCCGCCGAGGGGGTCGCTCCGCCAGCCGTCGGCGCCGCCGCAGCGGCCGAACCAGCTGGCTCCGCGGCCGCGATCGCCGCTGGGCCGCCGAACCGACGCGAAACCCGAGGAGGGAGACCGTCAGCCCAGGCGTCGTCCAGCACGCCATCGCCGTCGACCTCCATGAGGGGCTCGGCCGCGGCCGCAGCAGCAGGGGCCACAGGCTCGTCGCCAGCCGCGCGCCGCGCGGCACGGCGACGGCGACGGCGCCTGCGCCGCTCGGCACGAGCCGCGGGCGCGGGCACCTCGCCACCGCCAGGAAGTCGGTCACCACGTCCACAACCGCGACCAGCGCCACCAGCATCACCAGGCACCGCGCCCAGCGCAGCGGCCGCCACGGCCGCACGGGCGACGGCGGCCAGGGAGCGCGGCGGCGCCTTGGCGAGGGCAGCCGCGCGGACCGCCGCCTCGACGAGGACGGCGGCCTCGCGCACACCGAGCCCCATCCCACGTGCGAGGTGCGCGCGGCCGAGGGCGCGCGAGCACTTCGAGCAAATGGGTACGGATGCCCAAACCCCACGAGATCCCCGAGGGGGGACGGTGGGCTTGAGCCAACATGGCTACGGACGTCCTCCTCCTCCTCCTCCTCCTCCTCCTCCTCCTCCTCCTCCTCCTCATCATCATCATCATCATCATCATCATCATCATCATCATCATCATCATCATCATCATCATCATCATCATCATCATCATCATCATCATCATCATCATCATCTCATCATCATCATCATCATCATCATCATCATCATCATCATCATCATCATCATCATCATCATCATCATCATCATCATCATCATCATCATTCATCATCATCGCTCCTTCTCCTCCTGTTCCTCCTCCTCCTCCTCCTCCTCCTCCTCCTCCTCCTCATCCTCCTCCTCCTCCTCCTCTCCCTCCTCCTCCAACTCCTGTTTCTGCTCCTACTCCGGTCCTCATTCCTAGAATATACTCTTACTCCGCCCTCTGTCCGGCCGATAGCAAACCCATCTGGGTGGTCCCATCCTGACTGTAAGAAGCAATCCACAGTCTCCGTTGTTCATCTCAACATGGGTTGTCTGGTCGCCGACGATGCGAAATGCGTGGCAGGGCAAAGACGCGGCGCACATCGCGCGCGGACGTCAATCCAGGCCCTCCCATCCTGACTGCAATCAATGCAAAGTCTCCGTGGTTCCTTTCAACATTGCCGCTCTTGTCGTCGACGATGCGAAATGCGCAGCAGGAACGGGACGCGGCGCACATCGCGCGCGGACGTCTGGGGCAACCCCAAGCGGAAGGGCCATCCTACCTTTCAAAAACCAAGACAAAATCGACATGTTCCTTCTCAGCGAGGATTTTCTTGTCGTCGGCTTCGCGAAATGCGTGGCGGGAATGGGGCGCGGTGCACATCGCGCGCGACAGGGCGAAATGTCGTTTCCGGTTCGGCGCCGCGCGCATGTTTTCTGAAAGTTGCGTTTCCGCTAAGGCGCAACGCACATGTTTCGCTCGCCAGTTCGTCGAGCGCCTAGGGCCCCCTGAGGCCTCCCAAGGTCTCCTGGAATATCCTGGGGCTTCCCGGGGCTTCCCCAGGGCCTCGTGGATCCTCCTGGGGCCTCCTGAAGCATCCTGGGGATTCCTGGGATTTCCCCGGGGTTCCTGACACCTCCTAGGGCTTCCTGGAGCCTCCTGGAACCTCCTGGGTCCTCCTGAGCCCTCCTGAAGCCTCCTGGGACTTCCTGGGGGTCGCTGGCGTTTCCTGCAACCTCCTGGGCCTCCTGAAGCCTCCTGGGGCCTCCTGAGGTTTCCTGGGGCCTCCTCGACTCGTGCTGAAATGCCAGCGCAGTCTCTGAGACCCGCCAGGAATTTCCAATCGGTAGCCGCCATCGCGGCTGCATCATCTGGGGCAAACCACCTTGCCGATCTGCTTTCGGTCCCCATTTGCGCCAGCACTGTTTCTAGTGTTGTGGGAGGGCAGGTGTGAATGGGCATGCCATGCTTGACTCGCTCGAACTGGCTAGCTTGACTCTTGCTCCTACTCCTACTCCTCCCCCCCTCCCATTCCCTCCCCATCCCCTGCCTCGCCCAGTCGTCCGTGGGGGGCCTCGTGGACGGGGCCACGCCGCAGGCGGTGAGGGCCACGCAGGCCGCCGTGCAGCAGAGCGCTGGACGGCGTCCCGGCCGGGCGCCGGGGGCGAGGCGGCCGAGGCGCTGCTGCTGCGTGCTGCTCCGTGGTGTGGGCCGCGGCTCGGCCGACATTCTCCGGCGGGGATGATGCCGCCTCTCTGCGCAGGCCGCGGTGCGACGCAGCGCGGGGCTGGGCGCGTTCGGGCGTGCAGCGGGCGGGCGCCGGCGCCAGCTTGCCCGGGTGCGGGCCGAGGCTCGGCCGGCACCCTCTGCTCTGCAGCGGGGTGGTGCTGCCTCTCTGCGGAGGTCGTGGAGGCGCGGGTGGGTGCCCTTCTTGCGTTTGGTCTCGAACCCAGTGCAGCGGGACGCCGTCCACCGTGGAGCCTTCCTGCGCGGGGCGTGGCTCGGCCAACGCGTGGGCCTCCGCCGACGGTGTCGCCTCAGCGCGGCCACCGTTCGCCAGTGTGCGAGGGAGCATGCTCCATTTCCCGATCTACCCTGGTCTACCCTCCTCCCCCCCCTCCCCCGCTGCCTCCCCCCCGCCTCCCCTGCCCTCCCCTCCCCCCCGCTGCCCTCTCCCCCCCGACCTTGCCCCCGTGCGTAAAGGACCTTTCCAGGCTGTGGCGACCATGCCGTGTGGATGATATCGGGTGACTTGGGCTTGGGCGCGTGAGTCGGTTAGAGCTCCCCAGAAACACGCACAGAAATGTTACTTGAGACTGGCTTTTCGCCAGTGCTCAGGAGAACAGGCCCGTGTGATGAAATGTCGACCAAGGTCGGGGCAATCAAGAGCCGACTGGAGAGGGGACTCTTGAAGTTGGAGTACGTCGCGACCGCTGACATGCGAGCCGACGGCCTGACCAAGGCGGGCGGCGTCCCGCATGCTACCAGAGTGCGTGGGCATTTCGGCCTGCGTGCTCTGTGAGCCCCCTACGCCCCGATCGTCCTGAGGGGCGGCCCCCACATCGACCCCACCGATCGGGATGGTCGGAGACCCTACGCACGTCTCGCTGCACAGGGCTCCGAAGTAGGAGCGTGTATAGGGGGCCTTTCCAAGCTGTGGCGACCACGCCGTGTGGATGATGTCGGGTGACTTGGGCTTGGGCGCGTGAGTAGGTTAGCTCCCAGAAACACGCACAGAAATGTTACTTAAGACCGGCTTTTCGGCAGTGCTTAAGAGAACAGGCCCGTGTGATGAAATGTCGCGGTGTTTCCCCTGGCCCCGTGGGCCGATGGTGCCCCAGACAACCCAGCGGGACCATTTCGAGTGAACTGTTTCCGTGCAGTCCAGTCTCAGTCCTACGCCCAGTCCAGTCTCAGTCCTACGTCTGCTGACGGGCGTAACGGTCTGGACGCCCGTCAGCAGACGTAGGACTGAGACTGGACTGAGAGGCATGGAGTGATCGGAGCAATGGGGAGGCCGGTGCGACCTTCGCCCGCCTCCCACGGATTCTGGTGTCCAGGTGGAGCGGCTCCGCCTCCTGGACGTCAGAGTCCGCAAAGAGTGCTCCGGAAGCGCTCTGGCTCAAGACGCGAGGAGAAGTATTTCCTCTCTCCCCTCATGCCTCGACCTCGGAACCACCGAGGCGGCAGGAGCGTGGCCTCTCGGGATAGATTCTGGGATACGCGCCTGATCCTGTCCATCGAGCGGCTCCTGAGGGCTGCCCTGGGCCTTCCGGAGAGGGTCCGAGTGATCCAGCCACTACCTCGAGAGGTGGTCGAGCTGGCCCTGGAGGAAATCATCGAGTCGGAGATGTTGTCTGAACTGAGCGAAGATGAGAAATCATGTATTCTGCGATTCTGCGCACCCGCTCGTGGACCAACAGACGCTGTGCTCCACAAGGCCCCCCTCCCCCCCTTCCGCCCCCCGCTGCCCCCCCCCCCCTCCTCCCCTGCCCTCTCACCCCCCCTGCTGCCCTCCCCCCTCGAGATCGATGTGAGATCGCCTGCGGGATCGATGGCGACATCGATCGGGAGGCCGATCGCGAGATCGAGCAAAGAGATCATCGGTGAGATCGATCGTGAGATCGAAAGCGAGGTCGCCCGCGCGATCGATCATGACATCGACAGCTGAGATCCCCCCCCGCCCCCCCCGAGACCTCGCCGCCCTGGCCGTGCCGCTCCCCGCCGTCGCGGGGCAGGAGGGCGGCCGCCTCTCGCCCGAGGCGCGCGCGGCGCGCGCGGCCGCGCGGCGGCGGGACGGCCCGCCGCCGCGAGGACGGGCGCTCCCCAGCTCCAGAGGCCTCCTAGATCCGTGTCGGGGCAGACGGGCTTCACTCTGGCTTACCTGGAAATGTGGAAAAGAAGGTCCAGGAAAGGTCTCTGGCAGGTTTTTGGTACTACAGGTTCAGAGGTCCCAACACAGGTCTGCAACAAGGCAGTCCAGCTTCGCTGTGTGCCCTTGGAGGTTTTTCATTGCCTTGCCAAATAATGTGGGCAGATTCAGACAAGGTCCACAAACCCAGGCACGGTCCACAACCCAGGCACAGTCCTAGATGGGGTCGGAATAGATGGGGTCGGAGGATCGCGCCGCATCGCCGATGCATCGCCGATGCATCGGCGACATCGGCGATGCATCGGCGCCGGTCGGCGTGGAGAGTGGGGCCCCACAGCGAGCCGCACCGCCGATGCATCGGCGCTGCGGAGCGATCCGCCGACCCCATCCACTCCGACCCCATCCAGGAGGCCTAGAAGCCCCATCCGCTTGCCGGTCCGCCAGATTACGATCACGTCGAAGCGCTCCCGACCCAAAGGTGCCGGTCCGCCAGATTATGATCACGGTCGAGCCGCTCCCGACCCCAGCATGGCCATAGGGGCCGAGGGCAGAGCGACCAGCAAGGTGGGGACGCAGGGCGCCCGAAATCCAGTCCCCGCTGGAAGAGTACAGCCAAAACGTGTATTGAGGGTGGGTGGTAAGGACGCAAGACCCTCGGAGGCCGCAGCGGGGACTCTTGGGGCGGCGGGCGACCAGTGAAAACGGCAGAGGACAGGCCGCAGGTGCAAGGACACAAGGGCACCCCAGGTGAAGGCGCGCGTCCTTCCTAGGCGCGTTGACTGTCAGAGAGAGGAGCGATATTCGGGCGACGTCGGCTGACCACGTCACCGAGCCTGGCGGGGCCCATCCTGGGCCCCGGATCGGTGTACTCGCCGTCCTGGCGTGGCACTTTAAGCGTATACACCGGTCCTAAGAGCATACGACCCTGGGGCCCTAAGACCCGCATGCCCTAACACAACACACATCCCGATGACCCTCAGGTCCAGAGGCTCTAGTACACGAAAGCCCCAAACACGGCCCTGGAACCGAAAGGCCCTGAGGCCCCAGGTCCCTGAGGCCCCAGGACCCTAAGACCTCAAGACACCAATGCCCCAAGATCCCAAGACCCGAGGGCCCTGGGCCCAGGATCGGCCTGGTCAGGATCGCTGAGGTGGTCAGCGGACGTCGCCCGAGATGCGTGACGCCTCTTTAGGCGAAGCCAAGACGGGGACAACATCGGACAAGGACAAACTGGGCATCTCTGAGAGATCCGGCGGTTTTGGAAGATGTGCCGGGCGCCGACAATGATACCTGCGTCCCACAGTCGGCCCTGATTGGACAGGACACGCGAGAGGACACAAGACCCTTCCGAGGGCCACATCGCCGTAGGAGTGTAAGAAGGCACGTGTCGCGAGGCACAGGACACAAGGGTACCCTTGAGCTGGCAGGGTCGACCTACCAACCCGGGCCGACTGTATCGGCTGCACGTCAGAGCGACCCTGGGCAAGAGTGACCTCTGGCGCGCGGTTTTGGGAGGGCTCGAGGGGGCCACACCCAGCTGCGCAGGCCGCCGCTGTCGCATCGCCCTCGGCCAACGGGCGGCCCCAGGAGGCCCGCACCCAAGGTCACTCCGGCGAAGGGTCACTCTTACGTGTCGCCGCGCCGTTTTGTTCAGAACGCGCCCCAGTAGACGAAGCCGGCGCCGTGGCTGGTTAACCTCACTGCAAGCGCTGGGTCCGAGAGGAGGAGAAGGAAGAAGAAGAAGAAGAATAAGAAGAAGAAGAAGAAGAGGAGGAAGAAGAGGAAGAAGAGGATGAAGAGGAAGAGGAGAAGGAGGGGGAGGAGGATGGGGGGGAGGAGGAGGAGGAGGACGAGGAGGCAGGAGGAGGAGAGAGGAGGAGGAGGAGGAGGAGGGAGGAGGAGGGAGGAGGAGAGGAGGAGGAGAGAAGGAGGAGGAGGAGGAGGGAAGGAGGAGGAGGGGAGGAGGAGGAGGAGAGGAGGAGGAGGGAGGAGGAGGAGGAGGAGGAGGAGGAGGAGGAGGAGGAGGAGGAGGAGGAGGAGGAGAGGAGGAGAGAGGAGGAGGAGGAGGAGGATGGGGGGGGAGGAGGAGGAGGAGGAGGAGGAGGAGGAGAGGAGGAGGAGGAGGAGGAGGAGGAGGAGGAGGAGGAGGAGGAGGAGGAGAAGGAGGAGGAGGAGGAGGGAGGAGGAGGAGGAGAGAGGAGGAGGAGGAGGAGGGGAGGAGGCGGAGGAGGAGGAGGAGGAGGAGGAGGAGGAGGAGGTGGAGGAGGAGGAGGAGTAGGGAGGAGGGAGGAGGGAGGAGGGAGGAGGTGGCCCGGGCGCCCTCCCCGAGGAGCAGGGCCGCGCGTCGGAGGAAGCGGCGAGGCGACACGCGTGGTCGATCCCAGCACCGCCCAGAGTCTTCGCCCCCTCCGGCCTCCTCGTTCTCCGCCGGCGTGCCGGCGCAGAGGTCGCAGCAGCAGCAGCAGAGCCTGCGGCAGCAGCCTCGCCTCGCGCGCTCCGCGTCCGCGGCGAGGCGCGACAGCTCCCGCAGCCTCACCTGGGAGCCGAGCACCCACGAAAGGTCGCCTCCTCCCACCCCGTCCTCTGCAAGGGGGGCTGCTGAGGGACAGCACTCCCACCAGCCATTTGGGCCACTCGCCATCGCTCGGACGTCCATTCCCTGTGCTTTTTTCGGTTTCGTGCGTGTTTTTTTCGCCAAATGATCAAGGATGCTCCTCCATGGCCGTCGCCGAAGGAAAAATGCACACGTCCGAGAGATGCCAGGGCCAAGGCGGTCCGACGAAATTCTGTCTTTCCTCGTTCAAGAACGTCCCTCCCTTCCGGGAGGTTTACTTCACAAGATGGCCCAAGATGGCTCCAAGACGGCGACCGATGCTCCGAGATGGCCTCCAAGGTGGCTCACCATAGCCGACGATGCTTCAAGATACGTAGCTTCCAGCATACCTCCAAGAGGCCCGGCGAGAGCAACAAGAAGGCTTCAAGTGCTCACGGAGCCCCCCCGAGGCCCCCAACGAGGCCCAAATCCCTCAGAAACCCATGGACACACAATGATTCGTTACGTCGCTCCTTTTCGCTTTAGATGTGCTTCGAGGCCTCAACATGGCCGAAAGATGGCCCGAGAGAGGTCCAAGAGAGGCCCAAGAGAGGCCCCCCAGGCGGCCCCACGAGCGCCCAGGAGCGCCCCACGAGGCGATTTGGATGGCCCCGGGAGGTGGGGTCGAGGCAAATTTGGGACCCCCCCCCCCCGTTGATCGATGGCCTCCGAGATTGCCCCGAGAGGCCCCCCAGGGCTCCCCTGGGACCCCAAGAGGGCTGCAAGATGGCCCCAAGAGGCTCCAAAAGAGCCCCAAGAGGACCCCAGGGCTCCAAGAGGCGATATTGAGGGCTCTGTCCTCGTCCTCGGTGTCCTCGTTGTCCTCGTTGTCCTCCTCCTCCTCCTCATCCTCCTGATCCTCGTCCTCGTCCTTGCCCTCATCGTCTTCCTTTGCCTTGTCCTTCTCTTTCTTGTCGTTATTGTCGTCGTGGTCATCGTGGTCATCGTCGTCGTCGTCTTCCTCCTCCTCCTCCTCCTTCCCCTCCTCCTCCTCCTCCTCCTCCTCCTCCTCCTCCTCCTCCTCCTCCTCCTCCTCCTTCCCTCGCCCCCACGCGGGCCCCAGGGATGGCCCGACGAGGCCCTCCACTCCACCCCCTTGCTCCCAGAGATCTCTCTGGTCACCCAGCTTGCCCGCTGTGCTCTACTACATGCGTCTCTTCGTCCCTTTGTTCCGTCAACTCTCACGGGTAGGATTTTTGAACGGGCCGGTGAGAATACGCAGAGCGCGAAGGGTTGTTTTGGAGGGCGGAGAACGGCGAACAGCGTTGCAGCTCCAGTGGTTGCGCCACGATTGTGTTGCTGCTTGCCGTGGGTGCGGACAAGCCCTGCCTCCCCCCCCAGGCAGACAGACGTTGCTGATGAGCGAGAAGAACACGACGAATGCTAGTCGGATCGTCCCATCGATCGCTGTGTCACCCCACTTGGGTGTGCGACGACTGGTCGCCTTGAGCGCTGGTCTAAAGCGGCACTCAGCACGCGAAGCCTGGAGCCTGTACAGTTTTACCCGTCGGTGGGAAGAAGTGGGTAGAAACATGAAGTAGGAAGGCGTCGGAAGTGGATTGGGCTTCGGAGCGAAGAGGAACAACCGCTCGGCTCTTGAGGCAACTAGGAAGGCGCCGAAATCAGATTCGGATCTGGATATCCAAAAACACCGACTACGGATCTCGAGCATGTAGTCCTCCTACGGATGGGGAGGAGGAGGAGGAGGAGGAGGAGGAGGAGGAGGAGGAGGAGGGCCTGTTGCCCCACGGCCCACTGGCTCTGGCCAGCTCAGCGCTACAGGCGCCTCTCCTCGGGGGGGGCGGCGGCTGGCAGCAGGGAGGTGGCCCCTCTCGGCCCTCGGGCTGCGAACTGCCAGCAGCACGGCGTGCAGACTGCCCTCACGCCTCCTGAGGAACTTCGAGCCTTCGGGGAAGGCCAGGACCGCTGGCTCGCTGGGGAGGCTCTAGCTAGGGTCCACGATGCGGCGTGCAGACTGCTGCAGTGCCGAGCCCGATCGACAGACCTCCATGCTCCGAGTGTTCCCCCCCCCTTCCTGGGAGGCGGGGGGGGGGGCGAGGAACGAGGCGGAAGTCTGTCCAGAGGGGGAAGAAACGGCAGATACATTGACTTTCGGAGGTTCGCGCTGATTTCTTTGATCGGCGCTGGACCCCTTCCTGGCGCGCGGAGAGAGTGCCAGGGGCGGTGCCGAAGCCCCGCCAAGGGGCCCTGCGCCGATCCGAGAGATCCGAGCAGACCTCCGAAAGTTCATGTCTATGCCGTCTCGCTTCTGCTCGATTCCTGGGAGGGCGGGAGAACTTTTTTTGGTCGGCGGGGCGAGAGCGAACCTCTTCCGCTAAAAGCTAGGCGGGCTACGCACAGCTTTCAATTAGGGAGACAGGGCACAGGCGGGCGGGGCCTCAGGCGGCCGGAGTGGGCGGGGCCCGGGGTGCAGGCGGTGCCGAAGAGCTTGCACAGGAAAAGGTACGCCGCGGACAGGGACTGGAGGCGAAGATCCGGAGGGGGGACGAACACGGAACGAGGCTCCTCCTCCTCCTCCTCCTCCTCCTCCTCCTCCTCCTCCCTCCTCCTCCTCCTCCTCCTCCTCCTCCTCCTCCTCCTCCTCCTCCTCATCCTCCTCCTCCTCCTCCTCCTCCTCCTCCTCCTCCATCGTTCCCCCCGGATCACCTCCGCCTCGCTGAGCTCGTCCCCTATGGCGTCGGCGTCGGCGGCGAGCCGCAGGCAGGCGGAGATGCGCCCCTGCGCGGCGCGGAGCTCCTCCGGGCTGCTGGCGTCGACCGCCCGGGACTCCTCCACGGCAGGCGCCGCCAAGAATCGACAGGCCCGAACTTGCTACGGACAAAGCTGGGCACGAAGTCAAGCAGCAAGTGCCATCCCAAACCGGCAGCGGCCGCTGCTGGGTGGGCGACTCTCTGCCTCGACCGGACAGCGCCCGCGGCGACGCTGGCAGCGAGACCCGTTCGAAGTGGAGAGGAGCTGCTGTCAGTCTTCGTCCCCGTTAGCTCCGTCTGAGCGAAGGGGCCGAGCGGTCTGACACCATCCCTGGGCACGTGGGTGAAATGGTGTTCCGTGGCCCGGATCCTGCTTGTGTGTGTGGCGTATTGAACTCACGTCTGCAAACAAAATCATTGTTGATCCCTCGGTTGAAGTGCCCTTCTCCCGGCTCGCACCCTGTACTTCACAAAGGAATGATTGGGCCTCAGACTAGGTTGTTGGCCCCAGAGCTATTATAACAACGGCTTCAGCCTGGGCTGAGAACTACTACAACAACCACTACTGCCTGAGAGATTGCGCTCTCGCTCGGGACTTCTTCACACTCTACCCAGGAATCGCGCTCTCGCGTGGGCCTGCCTGGCGATTTTTATTCAAACGCCGCGCACTCGACACTCCGGAATCCCGCTCCCGCCCTGGACTCTCTCACAGTGTACGTGGGAGTCGCGCTGTCGATGGATGCCTCCACGCGAGTCACGCAAGCCTCACTCCTCAGCGACCCGCCTGCCCGACCCGCCCGTCTGGATCCACCCGCCAGACCCGCTCGCCTGGTCCTGCCGCTCTTGTCTTCCTGCTCGTAAGATCCCCCCCCCTGCTGCTCTCTCGGGCGCTCCGTCCTTCTGCCTCTCCCTTTTTTCACCCTTTCCTCATCCCTCCATCCCAGCAGGCCTTTCCTCCTCGCTCTCTCCATCTTTGCGTGTTCTCTCTCTCTCTCTCTCTCTCTCTCTCTCTAGTTATCTCTCTACCTCTCTCTCACTCACTCACTCACTCACTCACTCTCTCTCTCTCTCTCTCTGTTCTAAGCCGCTTGAGACGAAAGTTCTTATGCCCCAGGTCCTTGCTTTGCTGTGGGGCAGAAGAACTGATATGGCAGCTGACGCGGCTCTCTACCTTGTTCTCCTTCTCTAGGCTCTCTACTTGTTTCTCCTTCTCTTTCTTTCATGGTCCCAAGAGGGCCCCAAGAGGCGCCCAAGGGGCTCCAAGAAAACCCCCAAGAGGCTTCCAAAGACTCCCAAGCGGTCTCAAAGAGGCCCTTAAGAGGCCTCACCCCCCCAGAGGCAGCCAAGACGCTTCAAGAGGCTCCTGGGACTGCCAAGAGACGCCCAAGACGCCCCAAGAGGCCTCCAAGAAGCGACCAAGAGGGGGCGCCAGAGGACCCCAAGAGGCGATTTCGACGGTCCCAAAGGAGGAGGCTAAAATCCCACCAGCCCTTTAGGTCGAGAGTGGTTTTGATACCCCCTCTTCGTACCCCCTCCCCCTGGACCTGGACGGGGCCTTTCGCGAGCGGTCAGAGCGTCCAAGATGGCCCAAGATGGCTCCAAGAAGGCCCCAAAGAGCAAAAGATGGCCTCGAAGGACGCTGAAGACAGCCCAACATGGGCAAAGATAGCTTGCAACATACCTCAAGGCGGCATCAAGGTCCCTCCAAGACGGCTCTAAGTGGCCAAAGGGCCTCCCAAGGACGCCCTGGAGAGGCCAACAACCGTCAAAAACCTAATAGAAACCAATGCTTTTGTTTGCCTTCTCGCCTTTTCGCTTCGGATGGGCTTCTGAAGCCTCGAGATGGCTCCGGGATGGACCCAGGGATCCCCAAGAGGGGTCCAAGAGAGGCCCAAGACGGCCCCAAGAGCGCCCGAGCCCGCCCCAAGAGCTTCCCAAGAGAGCTCCAAGAGGCGATTTTGAGGGTTCTGGCGGGGGGATCCAAATTGACGCCGCATTCTTTGTTGGTCGATGGCTTCCAAGATGGCCCAAGAGAGGCCCAAGAGGGGCCCAAGATGGCTCCAAGATGGCTTCAAGAGCGCCCCGAGAGGCCTCCAAGAGGCCGAAACCCTTCTAAAACCTTATTCGCCAGCCCAACGGGCCAAAGGCCTGCTGAAATCTATGGCAACCGGTAAATGATATTTTCAGTTCGCGCGCGCGGGAGGCGGCCCCTGGAAGTCCCGGGACGATAGGTACCCCGGCGAGGTCCCGGCAAGATCCGCCCAAGGGTGCCGGAACTCCCCGGGGCGGTTTTCCGGACCCCCAGAGAGCTCCAAGACGGCCTCAAGAGGCCCCTAAGATGGTCCAAGAGGACTCCAAGTCGCCGACCGATCGGTTCAAGACGCCCAAGATAGTCTCCAGACGGCCGCAGACGCCTCCAAGACGCCGAAAGAGGTCTCCAAGAAGAGTTCTCAAGAGGGTCCCAGGAGGCACAATTCATCGATATTGTTTTGGTGTTTGAAAGATTTGGGCGTTTTCACCTAGTCGGCTTCCCAACGCTGACAGACGGCCCAAGAGGACTTAAATTTATCGCTCCAAGACGGCCGAGGAGGCCTCCAAGAGGGTTTCAAGACGGCCCAAGAGGGCCTCAAGACTGCCCAAGATTACCAGCCTGGAACATATCCCTATCCCTATGCTGGGCACCTCCTCATCACGATGCCAATCTCAGGGATTCCCTTATTTTTTGAGGGCGAATCCCTAAGATTGTCATCGCCTTTTGGCGTGTCAATCTTAGGGATAGGGATACGTTCGAGGCTGGTAACAAGAGGCCTCCGAGACGACCCAAGATGGCCTCAGGACGGCTCCAAGAGGAGGCCCAGCCGGGGAGTCCGAACGGACAGTTCGAGCCCTAAGGCCCCAGGAGGCAGGCGCCCAGGAGGCCGCAAGAGGACCCCTAAAAGACTCCCAAGAGGCCCCCGGGAGGCAAAGAGACGCCCAAGCGGCCCAAACGTCAGCAATGGCACCATACAGTCGAGGCGTTGACCTCAGGAACCCTAAAGAAGGAACGAGGCCCCTGTTTTCCATAAGTTGAACTTCGATTTCGTATCGAAAACCTAAGGAAAATCCAAGGCAAGCTGCGAAACAATTAAGGAACACGGAGCCCCTCCCCAACGAAAAGGGTTCCTTCTCCAGGGCCCCGACTGTACGGGCTGGCGGAACGAGCGAAGCGAATAAATCAAATCAGTGATGTTTGCTTTCTCGCCTTTTCGCTTCCGATGGGCACTTGTGGGCTCAAGATGGCCCCAAGATGACAGAAAAAAGATCCCAAGAGGGCCCCAAGACGGCTCCAAGAGCGCCCCAAGCGGGGCCCAAGAGGGGCCCAAGAAGCGATGTTGGGTGCCCTAACGTTGGGGCGGAGAAGTACCTTCCCTTCTTTCATCGATGACCTCGAAGATGCCTCCAAGATGGCCCAAGAGAGGCCCAAGAGGTGCCCAAGAAGGCTCCAAGACGGCCCCAAGGGCGCTCCAGGGAGGCCCAAGAGCGCCCCAAGAACGCGCCAAGAGGGCCCGAATGGCTTCATTTAAGGCCCACAGAAGCTTCCAAGAGGCTCCCATAGCCAAATACGTCGTCGTCGTCGTCGTTATCGCCATCGTCGTCGTTGTCGTCGTCGCTTTCGTCGTCGTCCGTTCTGGATGCTGTTAGCATGCGGAGTTTCTCCTTCCTCCTTCTGCAGTGTGTTACCACTTTCTGCTAGAACGGCAAAGCTGGAATGCAAACAAAAACTGCAATACAAAAAACAACTGAAATGCCAACAAGTTGTAATTCTGATCATGGTCGTTGGCGACGTGGGCCCCAGACCCTCCCTGGACCTCCCCGAACCGCTCTCGCCTCGCACGCGGAGTCCAAAGCTGAAGCTAGAAAGGCAAAGCTACAGTGCCAAAAAAAACCGTGCAACAAAACTGCAATGCAACAAAAAACTGTAACTGTGATCGTGGTCGTTGACGCCGTGGGCTTCAGACCCTCCCTGGACCTCCCCGAACCGCTCTCGCCTCGCACGCGGAATCCAAAGCTGAAGCTAGAAAGGCAAAGCTGGAATACCCCAAAAAACTGCCATGCAAAAATAACTGCAATGCAACAACTGTAAGTGTGATCATGGTCGTTGGCGCCGTGTGCTTCAGACCCTCCCTGGACCTCACCAAACCGCTCTCGCCTCGCACGCGGAATCCAAAGCTGAAGCTAGAAAGGCAAAGCTGGAATGCCCAAAAAAACTGCCATGCAAAAATAACTGCAATGCAAAAAACTGTAAGTGTGATCATGGTCGTTGGCGCCGTGGGCTTCAGACCCTCCCTGGACCTCACCAAACCGCTCTCGCCTCGCACGCGGAATCCAAAGCTGAAGCTAGAACGGCAAAGCTGCAATGCAAAAAAAAAAAATGCAATGCAAAAAGAGCTGCAATGCAACAAAAACTGTAACTGTGATCATGGTCGTTGACGCCGTGGGCTTCAGACCCTCCCTGGACCTCCCCAAACCGCTCTCGCCTCGCACGCGGAATCCAAAGCTGAAGCTAGAACGGCGAAGCTGCAATGAAACAAAAAACTGCAATGAAAAGAAAACTGCATTTCGGTCGTCGTCGTGGTGGTTGGCGCTGCCTCGATGGAGCTTCCCTAAACCACCCTCGTCCGGATCCTAAGCTGAGGCTGCAAGACGAAGCTCAAACCAGACCAACCAGACCAGCCAGGCCACATGCAAAAAAAACTGCATGACAACAGCAACAGCAAAGCAAAAAAAACTGCAATGCTAAAAAAACTGCATTCAGGTCGTCGTCGTGGTGGTTGGCGCTGCGTCCCCGGATTCCCTACACCTCTCTCGCTCCCGAGCTTAGGCTGCAAGACAAAGCTCCCACCAGACCAACCAGACCAGCCAGACCAGATGCAAAACAAAAACTGCGATGCAAAAAAAACAGCAATGCAACGAAAAATTGCAATGCAAAACAAACTGCTTTTCGGACGTCGTCGTGGTGGTTGGCGCTGCCTCGCCGGATCTCCCCTAAACCTCTTGTGCCCTGACCCTAAGCTAAGGCTGCACAACCAGACCAACCAG